AGGGTAGGGGTGGGAGTGGGGAGTGGGGTGAGAATTGGTTTTGGCAAAGAATTTGGAGTCACAAAAAACAGACAGATTCTGATGTCTCGAAAACAACCTTACTTACAACTACTACATCTAGAGTCAACGTCGCTACAGTTGCTTATTCTGTTGGTCTTCATCTCAGTCTCAGACCACTCTCTTTTAGGTTTTGTTAGCCGTGTGTATTCTTATAGCCAAGCTCTATCATATTCTGTGCCGGCATATGGTATAACAGCTGAAAAAGTCTAGCCCTCGTCAATCAAGAGACACGTATTCAAAAACCGAGTGACGTAAAACGCATAGAAATGGGCGAGGGCACAAAAGATAGTACATTGGAGAAAATTCTTCGCCCACTTTTTTTCTGTGAGCAACAAAGAGGGGTGTAGGAATAAAAGGGTGGGGTGGACAAGTGGTCCAGAATTAATAAACGGTGGGGTTGGAATTTTTTTTAAGGGGGGGGGGGGAGGACACATTCAACCTCATACCCCTCTTTGTTGCGCACAGAAAAAAAGAATGATAAAAGTCGTAGAAAGCTCTAAATTTGCAAACGTATGTATCTACCTAGTTTTGGGGGTGGTTTTTTTTATAAGCATCATACGTTGTATGGCGCAAAGTGAATACCAAGTGAGTAGCAGAATAAATAAAATAAGCCACGTACCATTCAGCTTTTGTTTCAGTCAAATCAAATAGGCCTACAAGTGATGCACATTTTGTACCATTGTGCCGTAATCTTATGACGTCATTTTGATAGAAATAGATCTAAATATCTCGAGCTTTTTAGCGCTTTGGAGCGGATTTATTTCGAACAGGAAATGACGTAGATCTAAAGTCTCCGCGGTAGACGCCGACGAGAAGGCCATTTTAAGATCCCACTTTGTAAAACAAGAAAGTTTGATATTTATCTCTTGAATCTTTGAAAAGTGCAAAGGTGAGAGTAATAAAACTAGATCTAGATCTAGACCTAGATTCAGATCTATAATTATTGCCATAGATCTATTTCTTTTCGTAGACAACCCTTTGACACCACATTTATTTTAATGGGCATTTGGGTTTTGGTTTGCGGCTCGTGTCTCGTATGATTCCTGTCAAACAAAGAGCAACAAAACAAAAGGGAAGGAAAAGAAAATGTTCTAGATTCTTCAACAAACTCCAGTAGTATTAGAATCTCTAATGCGCTCACTGGTCATCTCAATATTTTTATACGCCTGCGAGTCGTGGACACTAACAG